GCCCCAACTGAAATGTTCTATATTTAAAATTCGTATCATTATGCATCAAAACGGATTTTAAAGAAACAAAAATCCAAATGCACTGAGGGAAAAAGCTGAAAACCACAAGAATTTTAGTATAAGAAAGCAAACACATAAACTACTTAGTTTTTTCAAAAGTTTTTCAAGTGCAGCAAAAATATTCAGAAACAGAGACTTTCAATATGATAAGCAGTGGCTGAGCATTTTAACCTTTTTCAAACTGAATTTATAGGCATGCATAAATGTATATGCTCACATGCACACCCTCAACTCCCAGTGGTAGTTTTGCTTGCTAAGAGGATAGATAAAATCACCCAAGGTACTAGAATCAATCCTACATAATGACTGTTTTTCCTCCAAGGGTTGCTATTTACTTTGGAGTGTAAGAAAAGAGATCCTATTTAAAAGCTGCTATTTAAGGGTTCTCGTTTGTTAGTTAGTGATTAATTTTGCCAAATATAAACCCAAGGATGCTTTGCTGACTAGGAGTTTACAAACAGAAACAGGGCTTCAGGCATACCAGCTGCTGACCAGTTATTGTTGTGGGAAAAAAATATTTTGCATCTAATTGTGTAATATGGATATTTCTTCTTTCTAAAAAAAAAATTAAAAAATTATTCAAAACAACAGGTAGAAACTTTCAAGTAGTGTAATAGGGAAAATTAGGAAAATTAAAAAATCTAAGACTGAAATAGCTCACTGAGGATATTGGACTGTTCTTCAAAAATCAGTTTATTCCGTTGTTTCTATAGTGCTAATTAAAGGGAGAAAGTATTTTGAAGCTGTAGGACTTTTAGCATAGGTTCTACATTTCAAAACAATTCCTTGGAATTTATTCTTGAACAAGCAGATTCAAAGCTGTTTGGCTTAAACATTATCTAAAGAAAACATGCTCAGTATATTTTATGCTTGGTCATCCAGGACTACCATCCCTCTGTATTTGGTGTGCCCTGCACTAAAGATTACACATAGATCATGTGCAGCATGTTATCAATATCTAGAAAATTAAAAATAGTAGCAACTCTGGATTTGGTATATTCTAGAATTCTGTATAATATAAAATCATAAATACAATATAAAAGTATAATTGACATAAAACTAGTCATACTATTGTAACTATTCGTAATCTAGTTGCTATTCATGACAATTCATAGAATCAATATTGGCAAAATAAATTGGCAATTTACTGGCAAATTTACAATTCATGCCAATTTACTGAATTTACTGAACAGTGATCAAGTCAGGTGAGCAATCAGAACTATCAGATTAAAAATTCAGAACTGTTGAAGTCATCCTAACTAATTTTTTTTTCCTTTTCCCTGCATCTTTTCTCTCTCGTTCTCCTCTTGTAATTATGTATTTACCTTCTCCTTGCCTTTCCTATATTCTAAAATATTTTCATTTCTTCCCTAACATCTTTGTTAAAGAACAAAATTGTGCTTTGATCTGTGACAATCTGGTGAACTTCTCACATCTTTATTCCAAACACAGTGTTACTTCTCGAGAGAGGGAAGGGGTAGGTGAAGGAAGGAGACAGGGGTAAAGGCTGGGGGTTTTTTGCAGTTTTGCAGATTTATGCCTACCCCCTTCTTTCTTTTCTTCCCTTCCCTTCCCTCTCCGCAGCCTCCCTGCCTCCCTCCCCATCAGTACTTAAAAAATCATTCCCATTCATGTTGTGTGAGCGCACACGCTGGGAGAAATTACAGGGGCTCTGCTCCAGATCGCCTTGACAACTCCAAGGCATCCCTGTGCGTGGGGACTGGTGGCACGGCAAAGTTTCCCAGGCCCCCTGGGGAAGGGGAGGGGAGAGGAAGAGAGAAGGCAGAGGCGCTGGAGCCAGCAGTGTGCGGAGGAGAGAGCAGCGAGCGGGATGAAAGGGGCACATACATCTCCCGCAGGACAATGGGGGTTTTGCTGGCTGACTGTGAAAAGACACACTGAGGATACAATGCTTTGTGACACATGAAAGCTCTGGGGACCTTTCCAGAGCCCCATTCAGTTCTGAGGAGTCTTGTCAACATCTTAAAATGCAAAGAAAACAACCCCTTTCATTTTCTCGTGTTTTAAAAACAGATTTTAAATATTATTTTAGACAATGGTTGTTGTTGGTATGCTGGAAACTTTTGCAGTTTGCTGAGTTCCCATTAATTGCAGTGGGAGGGGAGACTGCCCAGAAGGTCCCAATAAGGGCTTGCAGAGGTGAGCACTTGCTTCCTCCTCATGCAGCTTTTGTTCATACTTAGGCCTGTCATCCCTCTGCTTTGAATGCTTTCTGCTATTCACTCCACAAACAGTCACAGCTCCAGAGGAGAGAAACTGCTGTTCTCTGTGTCCAAGCTGAGAAACAAATTATATTATAACAAGAGCAGGTATGAGACTAAGAAACAGTAAACTAGGTGCCATGTAGTCCTAGCCAGAGTGCACCCCAGGAAATCAGGCTGGAAACCAGCTTACAAAGACAAGAGCATGACTCTTGCTCCCTGACACACGGCTTTCACATGGTTCACCACTCAATCCCAAAATCAGCCCAAGAAAAAATAGGATCAAAAGATCTAATCCTTCAAAACAGCAATCTTTACTGGTAAGGTACAAGTACTGGTAAGGTCCTGCACTCACTCCTAGTGACTTTTGGAGTGTAGGAGGCTCAACCTACATAAAGGGTGAAGTACAAAAAAAAAATAAATTCAGGCTGGTTAAAGCACAGACAGATGTGCCTGTAAGTTTGCTAAGAATTACATTGCTCAGCCTCTGGTCCTGAATCTATTATCTGTAAAGGGCAGAATACCGACTGATTCAAAATCTCTGCATTTCCAAACATTCCTACTAAAGTGTACAGGTTAACTTTTTGTGCTCATATTGTAAAACAAGTTCAAAAATGGTCTTATCCAAACTGAAAAAAATAAATAGACCATTGTTGCTACTTTAGAAAGAAAAATTAAGAACAGAAAAAAAACCTATTAAAATATACAAAAATGAAATTGACTGGACTAGTATATAAAAATTCATTTTTGACTTTGTAAGTTACGTTTTATTTTAAATTTCATATTCATACTTTAAAACTAAAATTTCTAACAAATGCTATCTGAGATAAATGCTGTGCAGTTTGATAGCAGATCTGAACTTCTCAAAAAATTATTAACTTTACTTTTTCTGTTGGTAACAGTATTTGCATTATTTCATGTTTACATTACTTGAGGACTCAAAAAAACACCCCATCTTCCATCCACAAATAAGAAGGTTATAAAACTTCCTGTTTGTAAAGTTAAAAAAGCTATTTGTAACTTGCTAGTGCTTACTATTTTCCTCTCAGGATTTCAAATCATAAATGTAAACTTACCATGAACATAATAATCCAATATTGCTGATGGAAAAGCTGAGTAGAGAAATAAAGGCTCAAATGCTTCAAATGTTGGATTTCCGTGTTCAGTTTCTCTCTGTACTAGTAACACTTTGTTCTTCCACTACAATGGCACACACATAAACCAAGAAATTCAGTGTGTGAATCTAATGATCACCCTTGGGTACAAATCTTACTGGCTCTAATGGTTTCTGCCAAAAGGGCAGAAAATTAAAAAAGCTGAACTGAAAGCGTAAGTATGAAGCATGTGATTGGTTTTATACTTTGAAGGTTTGATCAGAGCCTGGGACACATCCTTGATCTCAGCTACATCAGTGCTTTCACTGTAGCTCCAAGAAAATGTATCTCCTTTAGAAGACAGACAGAAGTATTATATATCTACAACAATTTAAGCAACATTTTGTTATGCCAGGCCATGATTTGAGTTTCCATATTATTTATATTCCTGCAGTCATCTTACCTGCCTTTAAATGCTTTCTCCTGTGACATAGATAACCAGAGCAGAAACTGGTCAACTTTTTTTATATTTTGTATGTTCAAAGGAGGCATCCATATAAATGTATAGGCAGTCTTTGGAAGTGTGGATTAGGCAGTTCCATATAGGAGGAGATAATAAAGCTAAAGGATCCTTTCCTAACCCCTTTTTTCATTCTGCACTTTGAAATCTTGATTGCAACAAGAATCATGAGAACTGCTTTGAGGCAGGTGGCACAGCCCTCCATATGGAGTATGAGCAAGTATGGAGAAGGAGCAGTGGGACATTTAAGGAGAGGAACTTAGCTGAATCTTCTGAATCTGAAGACTTAGCTGCATCTGCTGGAAAGAGAAAGAGCATTTCCAATTCTGACAGCCCTCATGAGACATTCCTCAGAGACTCAGAACTCTTTCCCTGGCAGAACTGCACCCTCTTTTAGAAAACACATTGCAGCCATTCATCAGTGCAATCTGATGAAGAAACACCATAGAAGATGCCATAGGGAGTACCCTAATATTCACAGTAAATCCAAATAGAGCTAAGAATTAGGATTAGTGTTGCAAATTCTGCAAATTTTATGAAAGACTACAAAGGCCTATTCATGCAATGGTAAGGATCTTCTGAAGCAGGCTAGCAGCATTTAATCTGATTTAAAATACCATGGCTTTGGACAGACATAATCTGAGGTTGCCCACTGGGGATTAAAGAAAACTCTTCATACATGTTAATTGTTGCAAACATTATCAACATTACTTAAGTGCACTCTTTTTTCTATCTTACAATTACAAATTATACAATACAAATGCAGCACATTTTTCAGACTGTGGTAATCACATTAGTCAGAAACCATTAATTTTCTCACTGGAATATAAAGAGTCCCACACTGCACCAGACCAATAATCTTTACTTTTAATGAAGTGTTAAGACAGCGCAAAAAGCTGTAACTCTTGTAACAGAAAATTATAAAACTGAGGGTGGGATGGGAAGACACTGATACTATGAGCTGCAAAAGAGGGACATCTTACCTTGGGTAGCTTTAAGTGTGATCATCAAAACTCTTCCCACAGAACTATTTTCATCATGCTTAGTTCATCCTCTTTAATCACTACTTTATCAAGTGAATGTTGTTGTGCTTAAATTTACTAGGAATTGCTGCCCTGGATAGTAAAGCCTCAGGGAAGATGGGAGTCCGAGCAGTAGTCTACTACATGAGCACTACAATCATTGCTGTACTGATTGGCATCATCATTGTGGTCATCATCCACCCCGGGAAAGGTACGAAGGAAAACATGCACAGAGAAGGCAAAATTGTGCAAGTGACAGCAGCAGATGCCTTTCTTGATTTAATCAGGTATGGCTATGATATTGCACGTTTTCTGTAGCAATAGCTATGACAGTAATCTTAGATTCACAGAGAACAAAAGTAGAGAATTTTAAACAGTGACTGCATAAAGTTGACAGATGTCTTTCAACTGTTGGATATCAATATCTCTAGCCTTTACAAAGTTACAAAGGGATACACTGATTTATTTCCAAATTAAGCTATTGCAGGGGAAGAAATGGCTTTTAATATTAAAAGAAAGTTTTCCTTCCTTCCTTCCTTCCTTCCTTCCTTCCTTCCTTCCTTCCTTCCTTCCTTCC